GTATGAATGACACTTATCACTAGCATTCTCTGGTTTTCTACTTTATTATATTTACTTTACTGAACTTTTTGGTTGATTCTATTAAATAGTGAGGGAAGAACTGTGTAGTTTCTAAAAGATTCTATTTCTTGATTTTTAAAATGCAATATTGAAAACTTTTTCCTCCCTATAGGAATTTATCTCAAATTATGAAGTTATTTATATCTCTGTAGTAGAGTGACACCTATATATCTTTACTGCTTATTGTTCTTTTTTAGAAAAATCAACTTAATACATTTGAAAAATAAGTTCATGTTTTTTTAGTTTCATAGAATATACATTTAGAGAAGTTTTGCTCAGATGTATTTGAAGAGTATATGACACAAGGTTTCTTTCCCTCTACGAGTTTGTGTAATGTCTCAGGGTAGTTTGGGGTTATTAATGAATAGATTTATATAATTTAGCTTAACTAGTGTTAAAGAAATTTTAAAATGCGTTAGTTTTTAAACAGTGCTTTTCCTCAAAAGAAGCATTATGAGAGACAGAATAACTTACATGCAAGTCAGAATTCTCCATTTTAATAATAAACACAACATTTTTAAAAGTAGTTCTTCTAGAACAGTGGTCCTCAAATTTTTGGTTTCAGGAACCCTTTACACTCTTGAAAATTACTGAAGGCTTCAAAGAGCTTTTGCTTATGTAGGTTATATCTATCTGTATTTATTGTGTTAGAAATTAAAATGGAGAGAATTTTAAAATATTCCTAAATTTATTTAAAAATAGCAATTGGCCATCACATGTTAGCCTAGGTTCCTATCCAAAATATCAATATGAACAAACGACTAATGCCATTCCCAGGTGGTTTGTTCCCATTTTTTCTGTTGAAGATCTGAACACACACCTCCAGTCTTTCATTCCATCCTATACCTTGGCTTTTGACTCTCCATCAAAAGGCGCTAGCACAGCTATGGGTACTCAGCCACATTTATCATTTTTCTCTGCTAATTCAAGTAGGTCTGGGAATGGAAAAAGCAGAGTCCCAGTTAATGCTTAAATTGTCCTTCGACACTGTAGCTGTCAGATTAGGAATTCTTGCTAACCCCTGCCCCATTATATTTGGCGCCAAAATACCTGTTCTTATTCTTCTGTTTTCTCACAAATTGGAAGAACGAGAACAATTCATAAATCTTTTCCTTCAGTTGTTTTCTTTCTAATAAATGGCTCAAAATGCATTCAGGTAGGATTTTTAAAATTTGTAATCAGACTCCTTATGTTCAAGGTAATAGAAATAACCAAAAGCTTTAAACTTACAAAGAAATTAGAATAATTGGCTCAGATCAAAGTGTAATTTTCTTTATGAAAGAGCAAATTTTAATCGAATAGTTTTCCAGTGATGTATCAAACATAGAGAGCTCAATAAGTAAATAAAATACCAACCTGTCTATTAAAAAAATGAAATAATTAGAGTAAAAACATTATATTTCATTTTCAGCCTATATCTGAAAATTAACTACACTGAGTTCTTTGATGTCTTTCAAAATTGTTCTCCCATAGAAAGTTCTTCATGTTTTTTTCATATGTACAAGTAATATCCACCTATTGGATTAAAAAATTAGAAAAAGATTAAGAAGCAATTACAAATTATCTATAATCCTTCCACCTTTGGATAGCTATAGTTCAATTCAAACATTCTGAAATATATTTTGATTATATTATAACATCATTATGTTCTATATACTTTTTATAGCCTGATTTTTCAGTTGACAGAACATTATGTGTATTTTTACATATCAGTGACATGGATCCATATTGTCATCTTTAATCACTCTGTGCTATTTCCTTATGTTTGTATTATTCT